GGGGCCTTTGTTTCTTGCTTAGAGCAAACTCCCTAGCTTTGATCTCCATTTCAGGGCCTCCTTTTCTTAAGGCCATTCTCCAGGAATGAAACCCAGCAAAGCCAGAAATCTAAGACTCACTCCGAGCAGCGAGTCTTCCGCCCACCTGCTCTGTCTGCAAACCTTCCCCAGAAGCTAAGGTGTGTATCTGGTGGCGGTAGCAGGGAAGCATGGCGCATATTCTTGATAGATGTGCCCCATGGTACATTGTTGATCATAGATTGCAAGGTGTCTTCTCTCCAAAACGAGTTTTGTGGCCTGAAGGTGTCACTAAGACAAATTGCGCTTTTCATTAGGAACTTTCCAAGGAGTTGGTTGACTGACTGAGTTCTCACGCTGCATAAAAGCCTTAATATAGTTTGCTTGTTTGGATTTAATTGTGATAATTGGGCTTAATTGTGATTTAATTAACATAAACAAATTGTAAATCTTAAAAAAATCATGGCATAGCTCAATATATACACCCCACTATTTTCTCATAGTCAAATGGAGCACTAAGATTTGAGATATGGGAAGTTGGACAATAAAAGAATTGCTGTATATAAAATAATGTTTAAAAATAAAGAAAGTAAACCACATGCATGCTAGATCATTAATTTTTTCCCATCAGTTGGCTCAACTGTCTTGCATTTCAATTGTTCAGGTTTTTCAATATTTTCATTCCGATGATTACATTGTACCACATTTTGAAAATATGCTAGCCATACAATATATTAAAAATGTGGGGCGTAATCAGGTAGCAGACTGATTTAGAAGATGCATAAGAAATTTACAATTTAAAGAAATTTACAGAAAATTTTCTGCTATATTCAGTTTCATTTCCAAAATCAATTTACATGACTAGATTAGGATGTTTAGAATGTCTCAGAATTTTATCAGAGTCAATCTTTAAATCTCTTACGTTTTATACTTTTTCTACTTCCCATCTGATTCTACCATTTGCCTACTCTTAAACCTCTTATGCTTTTGAGAATGCTAATATGACCTTGCTCCAAATCTCTCTCAAAAAATTTTCCAGGCAGTCAACAGCAATTTCCTCTCTAGTCAAAATACCACCTTGTACTCTTCTGTAATGTGTTCCCTCAATATTTGCCGATTATGATCCTATCAGGAGGAGAAAAAAAATATTTTTTTTAAAACTCAGGCTTAACTTCCATGCTGTTTTCTTAACAACAGTAAGTAGTAGTTTGCTGTTCCTTTTATCCAAGATATTTTCTTGATTTCACATTAACTGAAGTGATATACAGATATAACTCAGTTTACCTTTTGAGTGCAGCAGGATCAGTTACATGTTTCCACCTCTTGAAACAATAAATTATACTCTAATTTATCTTGAATGTTCATTCTGGAGGTTTATCTATGCANTCTGTGGTAGAGTGTCACCTCAGTGCTTATACCTGTGCACTGCCCAAAGGGCTATAACTTGCTTATAAAATTCAGTTGGTGCTTTGAAACACAAAAGTACATTGATCAAGCTGCATCTAATAGCACTCCTAGACTGTGAACCCAATTCACAAGAGAGGGCACATGTGGGCAACTTGCAACTCTCGAACTGACGACGGATAAATTTTAATGGTGCATACAATAAAAAGCTCTCAGTCCTTCTTCCAGTTTAAGAAAGGAAGAGGGTGTCAGAAAGACAAGAGAAAGGGGAATAGACTTCTCCCACCCACTTGGGCTCCATCTGGTGCTTACTTCAGACCTGCAGCATTCAGTTCTCAACCGATTCTCTCCTCAGTGGGGAGGGAAAATCCCATCCCATCTTCCTCGTCTCAACTCACTAACTATGTATTCATGGTGAGATACTCGCTATAGCCTGCTGCAGTTAATTGACTATGTTCTGACCTTTTATTGATTTCAAAGGATTAAACTCTTTGCTGCTGAAACATTTAATCTTCTTCCTGGGCCCTCCATGACCTTTTCTCCCGAGACTTCAGTTAACTAGCCAGTACACAGTGAGGTTTTTATAAGCATAACTTCTTGTTTTCCCTTGTCCAACTTAGAGCACTTGGGACCATTGGGTCTTCCCTTCACACCATTGATTTGATTCCATGCTGGAATAAAGAAAGGCTGTCAGCCTCCTGTTAGGAGTATAGTCAAATAAGTCAAGATGTTCCATCTTTTTTTCATGCACAACTCTCTCAGGTGAAAATAAATGCCTTGATAGATTGTACAAATACTTGCCAATATGTTTGATTTGTGACCCCACTCAGGATTTTGAGTATTGGTAATGTTCTTTTTGAGACCTGCTATCCTCAGCTACCTTCTTTGATTATGCCAAAGTCATGAACAATTTGGATGTTCCTCCTAAGCATAAGCTATGCTGTCTCCTCCTCCTCCTCTAGATATTTCTGACTCCTCCTTTTCTTCTGTGGGCACTTGTCATAAATACTTTGGCATTCTTGTGGCTTGGCTGGATGCTGTGAGTTATCTATGTTTCAGACACCACAAGGAGAAAGCACTACTGTCTTTTCCTTCTTACTTTATGAATCCTGCCCTCAGGTTCCATGGCAAATCTTAGATAGGCAGGAGAGAGAAGGGGGGGGGGAGAGGGAGAGAGGGAGGAAGGGAGGATGGGAACCAAAGGTTTTGATCTTTGTGTGATTGCACTGTTGGTGGCTTGGAGGAAACCACCAGGGAGTCATTTGCAAGACCAAAGGGGGATGGAAAACATCCCTGACCCATTGCTCCCAGTGGGGCCATCCAGGGTTTGAAATGCCACAGGCAATCTCAGACCATGTTTATTGGAGATGTTCCAAGATATAAACACAAGCCCATGTCAATGTGAAAAGACAACAGGCACATACACAGTCCAAGATGGTTTGAAAGCTCATGGGTGAGTGGTGGCCTAGACCACACATTTTCCTCTCCCACCGTCAGTTGTATTAAAGTTAAAGAAATGTTTCATAAATGCCTCTTCATAAAGTAGAAGAAGTGCAACAAACTCAGTATATGTATTTTTCTGTGGAAAAAGGCTAAAAGAGAGATAACAGGGAACAGGAGAGGCGGGAATGAATCTTTAGTTATAGCTGCTGATAAGTAGAGCAGATTAAAAAAAGCTGTGCAAGAAATCATGTATCTCAACAAATCTAGAATGCTAGGCAGGCAGAATATGCTTATTCCAGATTTATTGAATAAATCACAGTTGGCTGGATTCATGAATATATATTCAAAATTTACTAACCACAATGGCTGGGTTGACAGGACATATGAATAAAAATCACATTATGGTTTAACATATTATGTGAATCCTTCCATACTTTTTCTGATAATGATATCCTTGTAAAGATTTGTGTCTTACTTATTTAGAGAAACAGGGAGTTTTAATGACTAGAGTGGAATTTGGTACTGGGCTTCCAAATCTTTAATCAGTTCCCTCTGATTCTCATATCTAGTCATTATAAGTAAAGGTAAAGGTAAAGATTCTCCTCACACATATGTGCTCATCATTCCTGACTCTAGGGGGCAGTGTTCATCTCCGTTTCAAAGTCAAAGAGCCAGAGCTGTCTGAAGACGTTTCCGTGGTCATGTGGCTGGCATAACTAAGTGCCAAAGGCACAGGGAACACTGTTACCTTCCCACCAAGGGTGGCTCCTATTTTTCTACTTGCATTTTTACATGCTTTTGAA